ATTTTGCTGTATTTAATTATGAATACAACATACAGAACCCTATAAAAGTAGTGAGAATAAAACAATATCAAAAACAAAAATAACACAGTATGCCTCATATTTAACACAAATATTATTTTGACATCTCTGACTTGCTAAATTTTTAAAGCAAATTTATTTTCACTTTAATAGTTTTATCCTCTACTATTTGTAAATTTAACTGACTTGAGTGTGCATAGAAATCGTTTTCACCAGCTTCTAGACAAGATTCTGACATTTCTGTAGATACAAAATGTGTCTATGTTTAACTAAAAGAACTTATAGTAATTAAAGTAGAAAACTGGGGGTTTGGACTTAAGAGATGAATGAACCAATTGGTGGGCCCAACTTTGGTCACTTCACATTCTGGGCCGCCAGTTGAAGAGCCCTGCCGTAAGGGGCAGCAAAGCTGAATGCTCTTTTCACTTTCAGCTGTAGATGCACAGCCAGTGTTGTTGTCCTGAAGTTTACATTAAAATCCATTCAGTGTTTCCTGTGATATTTTGCTAAAAGGCAGACAAAATGACTCCATATAGTTACTGGCAAATTTGTAAACGAAGATCTTGAGAAATTTGTTAGTGTTCAAAAACTACTACCACACCAAATTTTAGGTCAGCATTTGGAAGACTGGCTAAGGCAGAACTCTGCCACCTTTACAACCAAAAGAGCCAATTGTGCTGCTTTTCTCACTAATTAAATGTGTCCAGAGCCGCAAAACAAGCTACAACTGTCATTATCAACTGGTGGTCCGTGGGCCTTTTCAAGGCCTTTTCAGGAACTTTTACAGTCAGTGGAGGTGACATAATAAATCTAAAGAAAAATTGTTATTATTATTATATTATTTATTATTATACACATTAGGGTTGGGCAATATTGGCAAAAGAATTAATCACGATTAATTGTGGTATTTAGCCGATAACGATTAATTTGACGATTAATGCCCTGGAGTCCCTGGACACACTTATGTCGTAGTCACATGACCATTTTAGTGAGAAAGATTTGATCTTTGTAAAAAAAAATTCCAAACTGTGTGAAAATTACAGATTTCAGGCTATACATCATATTTTAAATTGTGTTTATAGATAAATAAATTACAGAACTTTATTT